CTCCCCTGCCCCTGGCAACCAAAGATTTGTTCTCTGTCCACATGGTTTCCCCTTTTCCTCGAATACCTCCCCCACCGAAAAACCTTAACAGGGACCAAGAGAAGGTTCTAGAAGTGTCTGGGAGAGCAAATGCTGGTTTTCGGGGCTGCCCCAGCATGCAAGGACGACACCACCGGCCTTCCTACTGAAACCTTTCCCTATAGCCAGATGCATCACCCTGTCTGCATGACAGGCACTTGACCAAACAGCGGTCAAGGACACTTCCTGGTGCTCAGATGAGAAGACCTTTTACCAAAATGAAAAGACAGACTGTATGTGCGCTGAGATCTCACTGTGGTTGAAAAGACGTGTGTGCACCTGGAGAAAGACCTGGAAAGGCAGGAGCGAGGAGCCTCAGGGAGGCAGGAACGTTGTCTGTTTCTTACATCTTCGCGTGACTGTGTGCCCTCGTTTCCCAAATTGCCCGGGGATGCTTGTGACTCAGTGGTTATTCGACGGAAAGCTTAAGGGCGGCCCCGGCCTCCTCTCCCGCGCTCTCCGACCCTCTCCTCTGCTCCTCAGACCCACCGACCACTTTGCTGCCCGTGGGCCTTCGCCGTGGCGGTTCCTTCCTCCTCCTCACCCTCCGGCAGTCAAGTCTGGGGGAGGGGACGTCCCCGGCCGCCTGCCGCTCTGCACAGCACTTGACTTCCTTTGGGTGTGTTACTATCACACTTGACTCCGGGACAGGTGTTCATGGGCATGCTTCACTCGGCATAACTCAGAAGTGTGCGAGGGGGACTACTGAGCCTATTAAAGTGGCGCCCTCAGATGGTGGCGGCTAGGACTTCGACCTCCGGCCACTCTTAACTAATTGTAACGCGGGACGTTTGCGTTCCATTCCGATTTTACTCTAACGTGAGAGCACACGAGATCCTCTTAGCCTGCGCTTTCAGACCCGAGTCACCCCGGCGCGCCCGCCGCCGCGTCCCCGGGGCTCCAGCGGCGAATGAAGGCGCCGCACAGCCAGTGTCCTCCAAGCCCTTTTATTTGGTCCCCGGCGCACTCAGGCCTGCATCACCGGCCGCGACTTCTCCGCCTGCAGCTTCACTCCGGAGCCCGCGAAGCCCGTGCCGCCCTGTGGGAGAGGGGAGGCACAGGTGAAGGCGGACTGCGGGCGGCAGGTGGCGGTGGGCGCGTCCGAAGCCAGCAAGGTGAAGCGGGCCCCCGCTAGGAAGGAGGAGTGCGGGATAAAGGGGTGGGGTGGAAGTCTGGAGGGGGCGGAGTTCGGGGCAGGAGTGGGTGTATGGGAAGGTGAGGGGCGGGGCCTGGAGAAGAGGGACTTCTGGGAGGAGGGCGGAGCCTCAGGGGGAGGGGTCTGGGCAAGTGGGGGCGGAGCCTCGGAGAGGGGACCGGGAAGAGGGCACCGCGGAAGGGACCCTGCTCACCCGCTGCAGCACGATGATGTCGCGGTCCGTGAGCTTCTCCCCGTTCACAGGGTCCACCATGTCTTTCCGAATCAGCTTCTCCACGCACTCAAGGGTGACCACGGCCCCACTGCGATGAGAGGAAGGATGGTGACGTCCATCGGAGGCCCCGCTCCAAGAGGGAGAGCCGCGTCCCCAAGCCTGGCCCCGCCCACCCCAGTGACTCACGAGGGCCGCAGCACGGCGCACGGCGTGGCGTTGCTCAGGCTGTCGCGCGTCACGGCGCACACGTAGCGCTCACTGCGTGTGATGAGCCCCACGCGGTCCACCGAGCTGTCGAGCGGCGTGAAGCGCACGGGCGTCAGGTCCGACATGCGCAGAGGCTTCCCCGACATGGGGCAGGTCACGGTGCGCGACTGTGCGAGCAGGAGGGGGCACGGTCAGCAGGTGGGTTTGGGCCCGGTGCACAGGATGAGGCTGGGAAGGGCACCCCAGGGACATTGCGGGACCCCCAGCCCTCTCGGGGAAAGTAGACGCACGGGCGTTTGCTGAGGAGGAGACTCACCGGCTTCTCCAGCTTGGTGGCCTTGGCTTCGGGGGTCAGCGACGGGATCCAGAAGCTGGGCAATGCTTTGTCCTTGTCCTTGCCTGTGGCGCCCGCACTGGGGCCGGGTTGGGTATCATCTAAAGGGGTCAGGGGTTCAGATGCCACACTTGAGGAAGGACCCCCCACCCGACCGCAGGCCTGCTCCCCCTCACCTGGGCCATTCCCTGAGCTGGTCTTGGGCGTGAAGGGGTTGAGGGGCCGGCTGACGATGGCTGCCTCCTTCTCCAGGAAGCCCCGCACCTGGTCCTTGGCCGCCGCCCGCTGCAGCTCTTTCTGCTCCTCCTTCCGGGCGCCCCGCTGCTTCTCGTAGGCCTAGAGGCAGCGGGGAAGAAGTGAGCCAGGAAGAGGCCCGGGGGGCTCTGCTCGTGAGCTCACCATCAAAACCATGACACGTCCTGTGCCCCCTTCTCTCATCCATCACCTTCATCTGCCGAGCGATCTCTTTCTTCTGGTGCAGAATGTACTCCAGGATGGCCTCGCGCTCATACAGGTAGCCGTCCGGGCTGCAGAGAGAGGATGGGATGGGAACGCGTGGGCCTGGCCCAGGGCACACAGCCAGGCCTTCATGATCCCATGCTGAGTGTCAGCCCCCCGTCCCGGGCACCCACCCACCACGTCACGGGCAGCAGCTCGCTCGGCTGTCAGCCTAGCCCTGCGGTGGCAGGACTGCTAGAATTCTCCTGGCTTCGTCAAACGCTCTGGCGTGCAGGGAGGATCTGGTGCGGTGACGGGTGACAAGCCTGGGCTGTCCGAACCCCTCACGGTCCAAACAAAGGACTGGCCTGTGGTGGGCTGGGAGGGACCTGCTAGACCCTTGGAGTGTCCTGCCTGATAAGCGTGTCTGTTCACTCGGGGGCTTTGGCCGTATGTATCAGCTTGACCTCTGGAGGGGCTGGAGACCAAGGTCAGCCACACGGTGGTCAGCCATGTCTACGTGACCGACCGCTAATAAAAACCCTGGACACTGAGGCTCTGGTGAGGTCCCTGGTGGGCGTGCTGTGCCCGCGAGCTGTCGCACATCACGGCTGGGAGGATACAGGGCTGATCATGTGACTCCGCTGGGACAGACCACCGGAGCTCGCGCCTGGCCTCGCCTGGGCCTTGTGCCATGTGTCTCTTCCCGCTGTTGATTTCCATTCACGTCCTTTCGCTGTAATAACCTTGCACTGTGAGTTAACAGCTCTGCTGATGTCTGTGAGTTCCAGTGAGTCGCAGACCTGACGCTGACTGCAGGAACCCTGAACCACAGTGCACTCTCTATAGAACAGACTTGTATCAAGGACGCCTGTTGATTTCCATTCACGTCCTTTCGCTGTAATAAACTTGCGCTGTGAGTTAACAGCTCTGCTGATGTCTGTGTGAGTCGCAGACCTGACGGTGACCGCAGGGACCCTGATCCACAGTGCACTCTCGCCACCCTCTCTATAGAACAGACTTGTATCGAAGACGTATTTAGTCACTGGACTGAGTACCTTACGCCTAGTATCTCGCTGAAGCCTCTGTGGGCCGTCTGGGGCGGGTGACAGTATTCCTCACGGGTGTGGTCACTAAAGGCCAGGCGATGTCCTAGGAGCTGTCCCCTCTATTCCAACTGTTCTTTCCCACTCCCCACAAACCATACCGGGATCGTGGTCACGTCTCGGAAGAGGACGCGGAGGCTCTGAGAGGTTAATGCTTGCCCTCAGCACCCTGGCTGTGCACCCCTGTCGCCCCCTCTTTGAAGTTCCCTTGTCCTCACCACCCGTGTCCCCAGCTCACGTGACGACGGGGTCGTGGCAGGGCTGCAGAGAGAGGCAGCAGCAGTCGAAGTCCTTGACAGCATCCCGGCTCAGTCGAATGTTCTGGGTCCCGTAGCCTGAGGCCGCTGGGAACAGACAGGTAGAAGGATGGAGGGATGGGACACAGGCCTCTCTAAACCCCAAGAGAGAGGCACGGGGAGAACTCAGAGGGAAGGGGACTCAGAGAGAAACAGGCGGCTAAGAGCTTGGGCTGTGTGTCACCCGCAGGAAGGTGTTAGTCCCCAGAGGGGAGGCGACAGGCTCCCCTAAGCTCTTCTGGCTCTGTGACCAAGTTCAAGCACCTGAACCTCTCTGGGCCTCAGTTTCCTCCTCTGAAATACGGCCATGACAACAGTGACAACAAAGGACCGTTCCTTGGTGCGCTGGGAGGGGCCCTCTAGACCCTTGGAGTGTCCTGCCTGATAAGCGTGTGTTTGTTCACCCGGGGGCTTTGGCCACATGTATCAGCTTGACCTCTGGAGGGGCCGGAGACCAAGGTCAGCCTGCACAGTAGATGGTGGGGGGCTTGCCACTCATGTGGACTGTCACATATGTGTTCATGACCATCAACTGGGGGAGAGACACGCACAGAAAGCACAACCAGAGGTACGAACTGAAACGGCGTCTTTGAGACACATGTCCCCCTCCCAACCCAGTACCTGTGTCCTTCTTCTTCTCGTGGTAGGTGTAGACAGCCCCCGCCGTGCAGTTCTTCCCGTGCCGCGTCATCCTAGGGAAAGGGAGGGACACTTGCAGTGGTGGCCGGAGGGAGCCCGCACAGGGACGCCCTCAGAGCTGATCTGCGCCCCAGATGGGAAAGCTGGGGGTGGGGGGTGGGGAAGGACAGTTTTACACGTTAAATGCTTAAGGAATCCTTACGCATTCCAAAAAAAGAAAAGTCACTGTCTTGAAAAAGACCTGCAGTTTGCTTGTGGGTGTCGGCCGGGCTGTGCCTTATGAATTACAGTGAGGTGGCGGAAGGAGAGTTATCTGAAATCTGATGGAAAGTTCTAGCACCACGGGGAACTGAGGTGCCCGGCTGACGTTCAAGGTGCATGTGCTCTGTGCTCAGTATGCCTGCATGCTCATTCCAACTGAGCATGGATTTCTGGGTTCGCTTAGTCTTTCTTGTGGATGAATTCACATGTAACCAAAGGCTTTATGCTCAAATCGATCCCTAATGTCTCAATCGCACTAGAATAAATTCTGAGTTTTCAAAACAAACATCCAGAGCAGAACTGACAACACATGGCACTCTGGCAAATCAACAAGAAAAACTCAGCTACCCCAATAGGAAAACAAGCAAAGGACATTGAAGAGGCAATTGACAGAAGAAGCTCAAAGACCAGCAAGGGGCTGGAGAGATGTTCGAACTCTACCCACATGGAAACCACACTGAGCTATCACGTTACACGTATCATCAGGCTGGCCGGGGAAACTCTGAAAGCCGGGTGAGACCAAGGCTTGCTGGGGATGTGGGGTCAGTCTTGCGAACTGTCGGGCGATGCTGGGGTTGAGTGGACAGGGTCAGCTGTCCTGGAACACAGGCTGGAGGTACTTTAGCAAGGTGAGTGTAGGCACTTCCACACCTGGGTGTTAGTGCCTCAAAGACAGTCTCAGGTACAAAGGAGCACGTACGAAGATGTTCACAGCAGCGTTATTTACACCGCAGGCACGCCGAAGCCAAATGAATGTCCCTCCCCAGGACAACGGACAGTGATTGCCCATCATGGAGACTACGCGGCCGTGGGATGCGAACGACTAGGTGTGTACAAAGCATCATGGATGGATCTTAAAAACACGATGTGGGTGAAAAGAGGAAGAAATAAAACAAGATCGCTAACAATCTACACATGCACGAAACGATACGGTTCACACATATCAGAATGGTTCACACATATCAGAATGGTTGCCCAGGTAGGGGAGGGGACTCTCAGGGGACAAACAGGACTAAATAAATGAAACGAGGAGGGGGTTAGGTGGATCTAGGTGTGGAGACTTAAGCAATGGGACCTCCTGCCTGGGCCGAGTCTAAGGTTGACCTCCTAGTCTCTGTGTGGCTCTGGACTGGCGACAGCCTTTTCCTGAGTCCCAGTTTCCTGGGGTAAAAAGTGGTGATAACCAAGGGATTGGATTGCTGTGAAGACTCAATGAAGTCATGTTCATAGCGTGACACACCAGGGGTGTTCAAGAAATATTCTCTCCTGGTCCCTGGGGGGCAAGGAGGATCCAGAAGGCGGAGGTGTGGCATTGGGGGGTGGGGGACAAAACCGAGAGCTCCCAAAGAGTAAAAGGTAACTTTGTATTTATTTCCCCCTTCTGGTTGCTTTCAGAAACTTGCCCTTCACTTTGACAACTTGAAACACAAACGTCTCCGTGAGCTACGGATCTCGCTCGCCCCCTACTGGTGTCTTCGTCCCAGAGCCGAGTTTTTTCAGGCATAGTGACACAGAACAGACGCACACGCCGAGGAGGCAGCGAGATGCGTTTCTGAGGCAGCGAGATGCGTTTCTGACAAATGTACGGGCCCTCGTAATGTCCCAGTTGAGATACAGAGGGCACTTGTTACCCCAAAAGTGGCCGCTGTGCTGCTGCTCACAGAAGCTCATCTTGGTGAAACACCCCGACCCGACCCACGGCCCCCTCCTCCGACTCCCCCTCACCCCCAAGCTTTTGAGCAAGTGGCCAGCACCTGCTGCCTCCCCTCGCTCACCTGCCACCCACTCCTCCGCCCCGGTCCCCTGGCTTCTACCCAGACCCCAACTGCCACTGATGAAGGTCGGGCTGACCTCCTCACAGCCAAATTCCCCACTCTATTCTTAGTTGTCAACTGCCTTGACCCTCTGTGCTATTTGGCACTGGGCTGCTCGTCCCGGGGCCAAGAACAGGGTATTTCTACGTCTTTGCCTCCATGAACTGGGACATTTTCCCTCAGAGAGAGAGAAGAACGGCTAGAAAGGGAGTATTATCATTTTTTTTTAACCTTGCTACATGATTTTCATATTATATGGGAATAATCATGAGCGACACTGCTTGATCCCTGACCACTGGCAACTCTCCACGCCCCTGTCTCGTCAGCGTCCAACCTCGGCCACCCTCCGAAGTCTGTCCCATCACCACGTCCACTTTGCAGATGGACAAACTGAGGCTCAGACGTGAAGCCATTTGCCTGGGGCGGTGGTTCTCACTAAGGTCCAGGGACCCACGGGGTCCCGAGGATACTTTCAGGGGGCCCACAAGACCATTTCCATAACACGACAGTCAATTCCCCTTTGTCCCTCTTCCTCTGTGGAGACTGTACAGTGGCGTTTTCGGAGGCCGTGACGTGTAAGGATGTCATCGCTCTGAGGGTAACGGAAGGCGTGCTTGTTCGTCCTCAGGTTTTGAAAGTTACGTTACAATAAATGAAAAAAACCAGGCACAGGAGCCGTGTCTTCCTGCTTCCATTTAAATGAGATGTCCTGAAAGGGAAAATCCACAGGGACAGAGACAGGAAGCAGACGGTGGTCGGCACCGGCTGGGGGCTGGGGGCTGGGCAGTGACCGCTGAGGAGCGCGGGGTTTCTTTTTGGGGTGATGAAAGTGTTCTGGAATCGGAAAGTGGTGACGGTGGCACAAAATAGTGAACACGCTAAAAACCACGGAACTGTACACTCTAAGTAGGTGACTTTTGTGTTATGTGAATTCTCTCTCAATAGAACATTTTTAATGTGTTTTAATTTCTGAGAGGGCAAATCTTGATAGAATTCAGAGTCTTTGGTGGCTTCTAGGTCCAGAGACCAAAAAGTCTGAGAACCGCCTGCCAGGGGTCAAAGGCAGGTGGTGGGGCCGCAACCTCAGACCCCAGAAGCTGAGCTTTCGGCCACCACGCAAGGCCAATCTCAAGGTACAAAACAGAACTAGGGCCATCTGCTGCCACTAGGATTTCGGAGAACACACATCAAAGCTACATGGACTATTCTGTCATCATTCCCATTTTACGGGAGGGGTAAAAAAGCTTAGCATCAGCCTCCCAGCTGGGAAGTGGCAGAGCCAGGATTCGAACCCCAGCAGCTGGGCTCTGGAGCTGCCATCTCAACCATGTGACAACTGTCAGTCCTTCCAGGAAGGTCACGATCTGAGAATTCCTATTTTTGCACAAAGTCTTCAAAATCCAGGGTATATTTTACTCTTTCGACACATCTCAATTCAGACACTAAATTTTCCACTGAGGACACTTGTCCTATGTTGAGGTTTCATAAAACGCACGGGTGCAACTAAACGCACATTCACGCACCCCCGTCGTTCCAGAGTGACTCTGTCGAATTACACCACAACCCAAACTGTTGCCACAAACGAGGGACGGAGGCACGGGCAGGTGCCCAAGGTCGTGCAGCCCGGGCTCACCCAGGTCCCCGAGTCTGTGGCCTGACAGCAGGCGGCCTCAGGCACTGTGCTGGACTCGGCGTGGAACAGGACAGCTAATGTGTGCCTGGTCCTTCCTCCCAGAAACCCTGTCCCCTGCCTCCTCCCAGGCTCCACGGAGGAGTCGCCTCTCTGGGCAGCTCTCCAGGCTGAGTTAGGTGTTCCCTGAGCCCTGATAATGCCCGAGTTACTCCCAGCACAGCCGCTACCCCTCACTAGCTCCCCCTCCAGACTAGGAACTGCTAGAGGGGGCCTGGCTCAGACCCCTGTCCAGGTGGCAGCATTGCCTGATGCCTGGGTGGTAGGGGGCTCAGAGAAGTCGCGATGAGATCAGTTAACGACTTCCAATGCCAAGAGAACTATGTAATCAATGAACTGATCGCCCCAACAATCAACACATTAATCTCAAAAGCACTAAAATGATAGAAATGATCATCATAACCTTTAAACATTTATGCGCCGGGCCCTGAGCACTTCACAGGTCTGAATGCACCCAGTCCTCGTGACAACCTCCAGAGGTAGGTTCTCCCCAGCTTACAGGTGACAAAACAGATGCCCAGAGGGACAGACCGGCCCCAGTGAGCTTTAAAAATGGAACTTTAAGTCACTCCCTTCTACTGCTTCTTGGACACAGCTCGTGACAAAAACCCAACTGCTCGGATGAACAACATAGGAGGGACGACTGTCGACTGATGCCATTCAGAGAAAGGCTGATGGGAACTGGGAATTCTCAGTGCTAAACTGGCTGGCGGAAAGAAAGTAGTTTACAATGGCGGGTTTGTGCTGTTCCTGTCTGTTAGTCTGCCTGGGCTGCCCAGACGAACACCACAGCCCGGGTGGCTTAAACAACGGATGTTTATTTCCTCCCAGTTCTGGAAGCTGGAAATCCGAAATCAGGGTGGCAGCATGGTTGGGTTCTGGAGAGGATGCTCTCCCTGGCTTGCAGATGGCCGGCCACCTTCTCGTGTTCCCACTGGGAGGAGAGAGCACTCTCTGGCATCTCCTCTTACAAGGACACCAACCCGATGGGTTAGGACCCCACCCTTAGGACCTCGTATAACCTTAATTACATCCATAAAGGCCGAATCTCCAAATAGTCTTGTTGGGGGCTGGGCTTCAACATATGCATTTGGGGGGAGGGGACAAATATGAAGTCCATAAACACCACCTGAAGCCCCTCATCGGTCTCATCATCACTAAAAGTGGGACATACAGGCGTTATGCAAGAGGAAGCTACCAGCACTGAAATGGCCAAATCTAAATTTAATCAAGCCTTTAGATTTAATTTCCTACCTCAAAAGTCAGAAAATATAGCAGGGATGGACCAAAAAGGGCCAGATAGGAAAGATTTTCCACTTTGCAGGCCATATGGCCCCTGTCACAACTACTCGACCCTGCTCTTGCATGGCAAAAGCAGCCATGGACATTATGTAAACGAATGGGCAGAGCTGTGTTCCAATAAAACTTTATTTCTGGACACTGACATCTGAGTCACATAACATTGTCCTGGGTCACACAATATGATTCTTTTGATTTTTTCCAATGATTTACATATGTTACAAGCATTCTTAGCTTGCAGGCTGTACAAACATAGATGGTGGTTGTAAATTATAGATCTGATCAAAGCATTGTATCTAGAATATATAAAAAAACTTCTGATTCAACAACAAAATGACAAATAACCCAGTTCAAAAATGGACAAAGGATTGGAATAGACATTTCTCCGAAGTAGGTATATAAATGGCCATGAAGCACATGAAAAAATGCTCCACATCATTAATCACTGAGAAAATGCAAACACAATCACAACGAGATACCAGTTCGTACCCATTTAGAATGACTAACGCCAAAACGTCAGATAATAACACGTGTGGAGAAACCGGAACCCTCATACACTGAGGGTGGGAAAATCTAGCAGTTCCTCAAAAGGTTAGATGTAGAGTTACTATTTGATTCGGCAATGCCAACTCCAATGGAAATGAAAACATGTCCATCCACACAAAAACGTGTACACACATGTTCACAGCAGCGTTATTCACAATAGCCAAAAAGTGTAAACAACCCAAATGTCCATCGACTGATAAACAGATAAACAGAGTATGGTAGATCTCATACGAAGGAATATTATTTACCCATAAAAAGAATGAAGCACGGATCCACTGTACCATGTGGATGAACCTTGAAACGTTACGCTACGTGGAAAAAAGCCAGACAGAAAAATGATTCCATTTATGTGAAATGTCCTGATTGGGTAGATCCATAGAGTTAGAAAGTAGATTTGATTAGTGGACGTCTGGGGCTGGATGGGGCAGGGACGGCAGGGTGGGGATGCGGGGAGTGACAGGCTGATGGGTACTTTATTTCTTTGTGGAGAGATGAAAACTGACTAGGGTGATGGTTGCAAAAATCTGTGAATATACTAAAAACTACTGAACTGTACACTTTACATGGGTGAACTATATGTTATGTGAAGTATATTCCGATACAGCTGCTTTTTTTTTTTAAAGGACAAGGATTTGGGTTTTTGGCCTGTGGAACCCTGGCATGGAGGAATAAGTGAAATGAGATTATAAAGAAACAAAAAGACAAATCCAGATGGTGGGATGATCGACAGAATAATTGACCCAGTTTCTTCAATGAAAATTGAAATTACAGCGAGAAAAAATACAGAGTGGGATGGAAGGGGGATTGTTTTAAATTAAGAAACTTAAGAGGCATTGAGAGACGACTGGATTATCGAAATCCTGCCCGTGTCTCCCTCAGGACCCCAGGACTCTAGCCCGCGGGCCGGCGATTCCGCCACCGCCTGGAACTCACCTCAGAAGCGTCTCTCCGTCCCTTCGATGATTCTCCAACTGTGCCCCTACCCCGGAAAGGAAGGCTGTTTTCCCTCGTAGCTCCGCCCACTTCCGCACAGTCGAAGAAACCGGAAGTAGAGTTGCCCCTACTTGCGGAGGTACCTCGCTTGGTTTGGTGAGTCCTCCCTTCTTCTCTTCCTCCCTCCGGAAACGTGAGTGACAGGTCGAAGGTTCCGGTTAGTGAAACTTGCGTGACTCTGGGGCGCGCTTAGTACCTACTAGGCATTTGCCAGGGCAGGCGATTTCCTACTTGTACCCAAGCTTTGCGTCTCTCCAAGCCCGAGTTTAAGGACTAGTCACTTCCTCCTGCGATTGGGAAGCCCACTTCCCTACGTGTATCATCCACTTTTCTTGCTCTAAGTTAAGGGACAATTGAGAAGGGACAGCCCCTCTGTTCCCATTTGATAAACAGAGCAATTGAGAAATCGAAAGTCAAAGCCGTCCAAATCACCCCAGGAAACAGAAATTTACTGCGGCATATCTGCCTTCCCGCAGGGACGAAGGCATATAGTTCCCGCCAGTTTGTAGATAGCTAGACATCTGGTGACCTAGACGTTTGTTTTCCTAGCTCAGCTGGGCGATCTCCCGTTGGGGAAACGCGAGGAGGCGCATATCCAATCTCCTAAGTGCCCCACGGTGTCGGAGACCCTGGCCTCCCTATGGGGCTCTGGACGGGCCCTTCATCATAAGGTCCCTTTAAATACTCTGTCCCTTACCTGAGTCCCGCCCAGGACAGGTAGTCGCAAACCCCACCCCTCTGCCAGGAACCGGGATCAGGCCGATTATAGGGAGCGCGGGAGCGGAGTGGGAAACCCATCCCTCCCCTCCCCTCTTGCCTGCCCCCTTTCACAGCTGTCCTGGCCGCAGCTGGCCTCGGAGGCCCTGCTTAAGGAGGAGGGGGCAGTGCTCACACATCTGAACAGGTAAGTGAATGTCCCTGGAGGCAGAGCCTGGCTTGGGGACATTGGCGTCCTGCCTCCCCTGCTCCTCTGGGTCTCAGAAGTTTGGGGAACCCCAAACCCAGGAGTCCAGGGCCCTTGCCTCCTCCTCCCCTTGGACCCAAGAATAGAGGCCCCTGCTCTTGCCTCTCCTGTAAGCTTTGGTCTCTGTGGGTGGACGTGGTAATGGGTATGGAGCGAGATGGGACATATGGAAATTATCAGGAAGGAAGGAATCTCGATCACCAATGGACATGTTTATGAGCACCTACTATGTGCCAAAACTGTGCTAGGGGCTGCAGACACAGAGGGGGAAATAATAAGCTCCCTGCTCCAGTCTCTGGAGGCACTCTGCCTTTGCTCAAATCTGCCTCTGAATCTTGCAGACCATGTGATCTTGGAGGTTCAAGTTCTTTGACCTCTCTGTGCCTCAATTTCCTCTTCTATACGATGAGGATAATAATAGCACTGCTGTGAAAATTAAACTGAGTTGGTATAGGTAAACTGCATTGAACAGTGCCTGGCCCAGAATACAGGCTTTGCCAGTGTGTGCTATTCTTGTTATAATTCATGGGCCACAGAAGTCCAGTCAGAGAGACCTTGCCTTGTTCCTTAGGGGCTGAGGCACCTGTCATCTCTATCACACCTGGTTCCAGGTGTCCACAAACTATGAGGAGCCACCCCTCTCTGCTGCTGCTATACCTGGGGTTGACCACCTGCCTGGACACCTCGCCCAGTGGAGAGCAAGACCAAGGTGAGTGTTCAGGGGAAGAGCTGGTGTCCAGGAGCTGACATCCAACTTCCCCTGACCCAGGAACCCTTGCCTCTCGTCCCCTCCTATCCCAGGACCCCATAGCTCTCCGTCCCCTTTGGTTCAGGTATCTCCAAGTCCCTAGTCCTTCATTTTTCTGTCCCTCATATCTTTGACGCCCAGAAGTCTTCCTGGACGCCCCAGAGGCCTGGAACTTCCTGGGCAGCCATAGGCGGGTTCCACGAGCCAACCACTGGGACCTGGAGCTGTTCACACCAGGGAACCTGGAACGGGAGTGTTACGAGGAGAAGTGTTCTTGGGAAGAGGCACGGGAGTACTTCGAGGACAATACTCAGACAGTGAGAGCTTGGGGACCCCGGAGTCCCTCTGTCTTCTCCAGGATCCAGGGTGGAGGTCGGGGTGGGGGGCTGTTCTAGCTCTCAACTCCCTCTACTGATTGGGGTTCAGAAATCAGGGTGGGCTGGTTTGGGCATGTAGGATCTCCCAACTGACAGCTGTCTTTCCGCCTTCTCTATTCCTACCCCTTCAAGAAACAATTCTGGGAGACCTACATCTACAATGGCAAAGGAGGTGAGCAGAGGGGCCAAGCCCTGTTGTTCTGTGCGGCTAAGGTAGCCCTTTCCCACGGGAACTGAATCATCACCCCCACTCCAAATTCTGTGCTCCCCAAGTTCCTGGAGGTGGTTATTCCCTCCTTTGAGACTGGAGCCCCTGCCTGAGGAACCCACCACACCTTATTCGAAGGTGTCCCATGTTTCCAGGAAGGGGGAAGTACGGGGTGGAGGGAGGAGTTACAGCCTGGGGGTCCATCCGTCCTCAGGCTGAGAGGCTCTGGCTCACCTGAGCTCCTCTTTGGAGTTCAGAGCCCAAGCCCCTTCTGCAGCTTGGTTGCTAGGGGGGCTGTTCCCTAGCAACAGGGCCTCTCCAAGCCTGTGGGCCCTCACCTGACCAGTCCACCCACCCCCAACCCCTCCTCCGAGTTCTGAGGCCCCATCATGGCTGCAGCCTTGTTGCTAAGGGGGGGAAGGGCTGCTGGTTAGCAACAAGGCCTGCCCAGGCCGGACCAAGGAAGCCCCACATCACTCACTACCTGGCTGGCTTCCCCTCCCCCACAGCCCATCCCAGCCTCAGCCTGGTTGCTAAGGGGGCCTTCTCCCTAGCAACCACACCTAGCCAGGCTGGGGACCCAAGGTCTCTTGCCCAGGGAGGACCCCCTCCAGGCATCAGAGGCCCCACCCCCTTGTGCCATGGTTGCTAGGGGTGGATGTACCTTAGCAACAGGCCCTAGGTCTGGGCTGGAGTGCTCACATTGGAGCCCGGTTGCTAGGGGAGGTAACTGCGTTGCTACAAGCCTAAGGATGCCTGGTGGCTTCTTGAATCCACCTGAAACATGTCAGAATCTGGAGGGTTTGGCTTCTCAGTGCAGCTTTTTGCCAAAAGGGCTAAAAGCCTGGGGTTTACTGTTTGAGGAAAGCCCTAAATACTAAAGTTGGTCTCCCCAGCAGCAACACCTAGCAAGGCCTCACAAAACTGGGGTCCTGCCCGTACACGCCTCCCTGTGCTCCTTGACCCTTTTTCTCAGACTAGAGGCTTTTGATTGCTAAAGGGTTTGCACCTTAGGACAGGGGCCACATGAATTCTCTTTGCCCTACTGTAGTGTGTCACCTGCAGTCTTAGCAGATGGATTGCTTAGGATGGCCTTGACTCACCCTGTGTCCAGGGAGGGGCCTCTATCATCATGGGGATACCGTGTCTGTATTTTCTAGTACCAGATGAAATTGTCACAGCCCCCTTATGTACTTTATCTCAGTGAATTTTTGCCACCTGTCAGAGAGGGGTTATCGTCCCATTTTACAGGACAGGAAATGGAGGCTCAGAGAAATGAGGTGAGTTGCCCGAGGTCACACAGCTAGGAAGTGGCCCCAGCGCTGCCTTGCTTCTTGGCCAGTACTCCGACCTCAGGAGAAAGGCATTTGGATGTTGGGGTGGTCTGCAGCCCCTGAAGCAGTGGCTCCCCCCACCTTCCCCCACTGCAGGGCGTGGACGAGTGGACGTAGCAGGCCTGGCTGTGGGGCTGACATCTGGCATCCTGCTCATTGTCCTGGCCGGCCTGGGAGCTTTTTGGTATCTCCACTGGCGACGGCGCCGAGGCCAGCAGCCCTGTCCCCAAGAGTAAGGGGGCTTCAGGGAGGATGGGGCTGGGGGCTGGGGGCTGGAGAGAAGGATGAGCAGGGGAGGAAGGGTTGACCTAAGGACGTGCGCCGAGGATTGGGGACAGGTGGGCACTGATGAGAGATCTAAGGAGATCATGTGTCTAGCTGTGGTATCTGTCTGCCTGACTGTATCCTCAGTACTTGGCACACAGTAGGAGCTCGATCAGTATTTGCTGCCAGGTTTCTGTGCAATTATTGCTCTGGATATTGTATCTGGTGAGGCTGCAGCCTGTGGTCTATGGCTATCTGTGGGTGTCTGTGGTATGTCAGTTTCCGTGGTCCAGGGTGTAGCTGGTTTGTGTGTGCCTGTAGTTGTCTAGGTATGTCTTTCTCAGCGGCAGGGTCTAAAGGGGTGCTTGAGTGTCAGTCTTGGAAGTATAGCGGGTCTGGGGATTTTTAGGAAGAGTTTATTTTAAGTGGGCATCTGTGTTGCGTGTCTTCCAGTGTCGACCTGCCTCTCTGCAGGGCCGTCTTTTTCTCCATTACTCTGCCTGTATCTGGAGCACATGTGTGTCTGTGAATTGTCTCAGCAGTTGTTGATTTCTGGGTCTGCCTGTCCCTATGCATCTGCCTGTCATTTTGAGGTGCTTTTCTGGGTGTCAGATGGAAGGTGACCCTCTTTCTCCCGGGCCTATCTTCCTTCTGTCTCTGTTCCCCTACCACCCTCAGAGTCTCTGTCTTCCTAAATCTTCCCTCCAGCTCCTAAGTCTCTCTATCCTGTAGGTTCCCCCTGCTAACCGTGCACCTTGTGTCCCCAGGGCCGAGCTCATCAGCTCTCTGAGTCCTCTGAGCGCTCCTGGCCCGCCGACGCCCCTGCCTCTACTCCCACCCCCAGGCCTCCCTACCTACGAGCAGGCTCTGGCTGCCTCTGGGGTGCACGACGCACCGCCGCCCCCCTACACCAGGTACGGGGCTGGGCTTCTCCCGGGGGCGGGGAGCAGAGGGGAGGGCCCTGCTGGAGGAGGGGCGTGTGCTCAGGGGCGGGACTTGGAATTTCGAGGTTATTATTCGAGGCGAGGTTTGGAGCGCGGGGGCGGGGCCTTGTGCAATTGCCCAGGGGCGTGGCCCAGCGTTGTGAGAGCGGAGCCTTAGAGGAGGGTGGGTCTTGTGCTCAGAGGGTCCGGGATTGGCTGAGGTGCGCAGGGCGGGTCGGGGTGGTCTCGGTTGAGGGGGAAAAAAGGAAAAACAGCCCGGTCTTTGACTCCCCACTGTGCCCCTCCCCATGCAGCCTCCGGAGGCCTCGCTGAAGAGCAGCTTCCGAGCCGGGGTCCCCGAACCGTGCCCCAGATTCACACCGGATTCCGGAAGCCCCCAGGCCTCAAACTGCGGAGCTGAGCTTGGGGGGTGGTGGGAGTAGGGGGTCCTCTGGCTCAAGGCCTCCCCTGGCACACGTGTTTCCGCCGCGTACGGATACACGCATGTCCCTGGAGAAAGTGTTCCCGCGTCCCGGCGCCTCGCGGGCCCCTATGCTCTGCTGACCTTGGGGTACCCACCAGCCCCGCCCCCGGGGTAGGCGTGTCGTGGAAACTCGGACCCAGGCGCGCGGGCCGGGTGTGCGGACTTGCGTGTGTGAACAGGTTTGACACGACCATCTCCGTCCAGGGCCACGCACACGCCGAGCCCCGCCCGTGCACACGCATGTCTTCGTGCACTCCCCGTGCTCGTACAGGGGCGCTTCGCAACCCAGGGACAGGGTGGGTGGCATGTTTGCAAGCGTGCTTGCTGGGGGCAGGCTCGCATTGCACCCGGGGGACTGGAGTTCGGCTCTTCCCCTAAATAAAAATCCTTTGGAAAAGAAACCAAAGAAAGTGAAACAATGCAAAAAAATAAAAATCAAAAATCAAATAAACTGAACCGCGATCCCAGGCGCGTCTGCGCGTGGTGAAGCTGGCTGGCTTTCTGTACAAATGTTGCGCCCTACACCCCCAGGCCCTGCTTGCGCTGTCTGTCTCTCTCGTTCTTTTTTTTTTTTCGCATTTGCACGGGATTGTGGGAGGAAGCGGAGCGCAGCCAGACACCCCGCCGCCCGCCCCCCCT